AGCTCTGGCATCGCCACCGTTGGCCTTCACTTCCATCTGCTCCAAAGACAAATCTTCCTCTGGTTCTTCATCTGCACGTCAGAACAAAAGAAAATACCTTAAAAGTCCATATATGCATCACAATTAATCAAAAAACGACCATCTTAAATGACTTACAAATCCATACAATTCAATTGAAGAAACCTATGTTCAGAGGTGCTGCCTGACAACAAGCAAGGCAGGCAACTACTTGGGTCCTCAGGCCATTAAGGGCCCCCCCCGAGGGCTGACATACTTTAAACTGCAGCAGTAGCTCAAAATGCGCAAAACCTCCCTAAGCAGGCACATATGACAGCAATTACTCTCGTGAGACACTGGCAGACGGTGGTCTGAGGGGGCTCCCAATTCATTTTTGCCAAGGGCCCCAACAGACTCTAGATTCACCACTGGTTATGTTACTCACTGCTGATTTCATAAACACTGTGTTCCCAGCCAGCAAAGAACAAATCCCAACTGACATACATCTTGTAACATGAGAATAGCAAAAAGTCAGAGGTGGAGTTGATGACAGAGTGTGTGTCTGTGCATCTGTCTGACACGACCGCAGAGCTCCATCAACACGGTGCCCAAAGGTATTTGGCAATAGTTGAACGTAAATCTGCTAAATGGTTCCAAAAGTTTTCTTTTACTGAATCAACAAGAAAAAAGGTTTGCTATGCAAGTTACACTGTGAGGAAACTTAGGCACAACAGTACTTTGAGAAAAGTCTTTTAACTTTAGCTGGCCGACATGTTCACAAAAATATAATGCTACGAAAATGTGCGCAATTATTAGTCGGCTCAACAACTACACCCTTGATCGTAATACTAACATTTTTAGTAGTGTAGGCCCACAATGCTGGTGTAATGTTGTGTTTAAACTGTAACGCAGCCACCCACTACTTGCCAGGGATGTAGCTCCGGTTAATGGGCCGGCCTGCTCTACTGCCAGGATGTAAACCAGTACAGTGGACAGATGCCATCTTTTAGAGCAGTGTAGGTAACCTGGCATATATCCACTTCACCAGAGCAACAACAACATTCAGCACAGGCCTGAGTTCAGCTGCAAGGAGGCCAGAGGCTAGTGGTGCTAGCACTGCTATCATTAACTACACCTGGTATATTAATTTAACTTGGTTTACCTGCTTAATTATGTACTTAGCAGGGTGCCACACATTATAGCAGCATTTTAACTAGCTGTCCATTTGGTTATTGATTAAAGTGAGGAACTACATGCTATAGGCCACTAGGCTACATGTAATCTGACTACAGACAGTGTTTTGCCCTGTTTAATAAATTGTACTAAATTCGGACTGTTTTCTTAATTATAGACTAGTAGATAGGCCACACTTTAATTTTATGTTAAACTGACAAATGTAAGCATTTTAACTGGCAAAGGGCCTGAAGCTGTTCACCAAATTCCAGGAGAGGGTATTTGTTAAAAACCAAAAACAGCAGGCAGCTGTTTTTTGCACCAATACACCAAAACAAGTGTAAATGTACTTGGCAATAAAACCGATTCTGATTCTGATTCTGATTCTGATTCTGATTGTCCTCTGGGGACTATAAAAGTACAAAATTCTATGTAAATCAATCTTGACGTATTTCGGTTTGGACCAAAGTGGTGTCGACAAACTAACGGGGCTGACAGTTCTATCCCTAGAGCCTCGCTGTTAACATGCTTTAAAAGGTTGACATGGTATGTGTTACATGCGTGGCAGAAGTGAAGGCAAGTCGCAAGGTGCATGTTAACAACTCTTAACCTGCCAATCAGTGAACAGGACATGATCATGAATGCTCTTCTTCTCAGCCTCAAAGCAATTCAAGTACGGATTAAATCAGATATATTGAACACTTCAAAAACAGCTTTGTTTTATTTATCCTTTTTCTCTGTATTTCTTATCGTTACCTGATCTGCAACTTCAGCTCTTGTGGTCATTTAAACGAGAAAAATGAATACCAAATAGAATGACTAAAGGTATGAGTACCTTCCTCTTCATCATTGGCCTCCTCTTCGGCCTTCCTCAGTCTTTCCTGGATTATCACTCGCTTGGCCATGGTGGCAAAGGTGCGTTTTACGGGGGCGGTGGAAGACTCTGTGGAAGCCATATTGGAGGAGTTGGAGGGGCATCTGCTGTAGTGTTGTCAAAACTAGTTTGTGTGTAAGATGCAGATGTGAGCTTAGAAAATGATGAAACTTTGGGGATTTGTGGGGGAAGAGCAGATGAAGTAACCAGCGGGGTTTTGCTTTTAGCAGGAGGGGCAGATTTCAGGGGAGCTGGAGGCTTTGACTCTACAGGAGGAGACTCCATCGGTTTAGAGCTGATGTGTGCAGAAGGATGAGAGGAGGAAGATAATTGTCTGGGTTCTGCTGTCGACTTGGTTGGGGTTGAAGATTTTGGGGGGAGAGAAGGGGCAGGAGGGGGTTCATTGGAGATCTGGGACGGAGGAATCTGTCTGGGGGAGGGAGGAGAGGGCCCATCCAGGACAGGGCTTGACCCCTGGCTGTTGACAGAAGTCTCCGTTGATGGTAAATCCTTCTCCATGTTCCCTGGAATAAAAATGGGTGCCGGTTATTTATCATGTAACTAATGACAGCCATGCACTCCTCTGGATGATATAAGGATTTATAATAATGAGTCATCAGTGAAGACAGGGTGGCAGACTTTCTGTGAAGTACCTGTGAGATAACTGGAGGACCCTCTGGGTATTTTACACCTAGAATATGATGAATGAAAAAAAGGGTTTTAGCAGGGCAATAAAGAATGACAGCCTTTTTCTAAATATTTTAAGCCTACATTGTCAAGAGAAAGTGTGTATACCTTAATGGAAAACCAGTTGAAGTAAAGGTTAAATTACATTTGAACTAAACCAAGTGAAAAATGAGAGCAGGAACATTCTGATGGACTCATTCTGCCAGCGAAATGTATCAGAGTACATTTACCACCATATACATTCAATGGTAGAATATTGCCATGTATTACTACATTTACATGACAGCTTTACTTTAAACAGGCAAAACAGCATCAAAAATCATTTTTTTTTTTATCAATGGGAAAATTTTGTAGTAAAAAAAGTTTCATTTGACAAGATTAGAATTAGAAAATGAGAATGATTAAATATGATTCTAGTAATTTAAATACAATATAACTCTTAGTTAGGTAATAAACATACTCACTTTTAATGCTGTTGTTAAATCCTAATGCTAGAAACTCCTAGAAACAGAATTTGAGGGTAACTTCGACTCTGAACTTCATGTTAAGTCATTTCTCAGCACTCACCGAGGTTACTCTGTAGCTTCAGAGACCAGTTGTTGTGATAAAACAATCCTCCTGACTTTAAACGTTGTGTGTATAAGTTAGTCCATGCTGAGCTTCTACGCACTCTCACAGCTCCTCGAAACCAGAGACTCACACCTTCTGTGGTTCAAAAACTCTCAAGTGTCTGTTCTGGCAGAACAACACCACAACACTACGCCCCCTCCGCTCGCTTGAAATAGACTCGCCCCTGATAGGCTGTACTACATGCCAATCAAACAACCACTCACCTGATTGGTTTACTGCACGCTCTCGCTACTAATGCCAGTCTTTTATGGGATTTCTTTCTATAACCTATTTAAACTATTTCTAGGATTATTTACCCTGTCATGCATTTATATGAAAAAACGATTTAACCCCATGTACACTATTTTTTTAATTGTTTTTTTTTTATATAAAAATGTTTTTGTTTAATTGATGTTCAGTGAGGCTTCGTGCGCTGTTCTCTCCACTGAACGGTTTAAGCAGGGACATTTAAGCAGATTAAGGGGTTCCAGTGTGGGCCTTCCTTTAATCGAGACTGACTCTCTCCCATATGGCAACAACACTTCAAATAAGGTAACACCTTGAAATAAGAGTACAAGCCACGACGGAAATTCTTGATTTAAGTCACAATGAGAAGTTGGGATAAGATCATGCTGAATGCATCATTTTCATTTTTTTTTAAACAGCTTCATATGCTTCATAAAAGTATTAACACCATGTTATTATGTTATATTTGTTCATGAATTCAGTAAATGAAAATAAAGTGACTATGGGGGTTATTAATCTAAATTGCATAAATGAATTCCTTAAAACCTATTGTGACTGGATCAATTAATAATTATGGTAACACTTTTAAATTAAGCTTAATGCTTAGTGTGGCCTTCATAAGGTAACAACATAATTAGATCATAATTCTTGTTTAACAACTTCTAATAGTTAATGATGAATACTGTGACCTTAATTTACAGTCTTACCCTATTTACTGCAGTTGTTTATAGTTATTCTGATTATTTAAAAATATGACTTGTACCCTTATAATAAAGTTAGTAGTGGCCATGTCATGAACTAATAAGGTATAGTTTGATGTATTCTATAGCAGTAAAGCTGTCTATATGAGTTTTTGCGTGTATATAGTAGCTTAATGGAATGTGTTGGTGCTCTGGTTCATGTTTGGTGCATTGTTCCTGTGGGAGCTGTCCACCTGCGCGAGTGCTGAAAAGACAGCTCCAACTAGTCCTCTCTCTCTCTGTCTCTCTCTCTCGACCTCTCCCAGTATCCCCATGGGCCGTTACAGTCTGACTTCTGCTTCCACTTTTGGCTCACATCAGCAAACATCCCATGAGCACCACGGGTCACTGACTTGTGAACAGTGGAGATAAAAAGCACCTGCATGCATGCTGCAGCAGCCTGGAGCCTTTTCCTGCAAGCTGCACTCCCATCGTCCCAATATGTCTGCCTCTATATGACAACTGCATGATGGCACACAGCCTTTATCAGTCTGTCTGGCCCTCCAGATGTGGGTTAAAAGATGAGACATGCTGGTTTAATCCGCTGATGATGTGACTGGATCACGCACAGCCCCCAGCCCCCCACACTGGAGACTTACTCCCCCCTTTTTTATGCGTATTTGTGTCACAAACAAGGCTCTATTAGTTCTTCTAGTTCTTCCTTAGACGCCACCTGTAAGAAAATGAGCATTGCATCCTGCGTGTGTGGAGGAAGCATCTTAGGTAGTCAGGAGAGAGCTGCTTTTCACAGTTCAAAGCATCGGAGCGCGCTGGAGAGGCGGGGCTGCCTGACAGTGACCCGGTTAGACGTAGAACAAGCGAGGCTCCTGTCTCCATCCTTCCAGATAGAGGGGGGAGTCTCTGTCTGAGAGAGGAAGCCACAATGTCTGACTGCAGGAGACAGTGGAACCGGGAGGATGAGCTGCCCGTCTACCTGGCGGGACCGATCACCACCGGGCCGAACCAGAGGAAGAGCTTCGGCATGTTCAGCTCCGTGGAGGGCGCGTTCGAGAGCAAGACCATAGACTTCGACAGCTACGCGGTGGGGAGGAAAGGGAGCCGCACCCCGAGGAGCGGGAGCCGCGAGAGGCTCTTGGACGCCGGTGACCCCGTTGGGAAGACGCCCGGCGAGACCCGGGAGGGCTCGCGGTCCAACTCGCCTGGGGAGAGAGACGAAGGACGCCCCGGTTTGGAAGTCAGATTTTCATCAGGGGATGAGAGCCAAAATGGGGAGGTATGATTGACGATTCAGCCCCCCTGGAATCTTGTTTGTGTCTGGCTTAAGCTCGACCCTTTTGATGGCTGTTATGTGGGTTCCAGATAGATATTAGCAGATAGATTAGCTCACACAAAAGGCTGAAAGATAACTTCTGCAATTTAGAATGAATGTGTGTTGTGTGCTGGCTTTGTTTTATCAAATGTGCAGTACCATTTATTCTCCGTCCTGCAGGGTTTTTCTTTATACTCCGACACAATCGCCTCAAGGTGCATAAATGATTCACGTATGTGGTGCATTGCAGTTTCACCATGTTGGTTTAAATCTGCGTATCTCAAACAAAGTTCTGCGAATGCGAATGTTTCTGCGTGTCGATGTAATGTTAATGTGTGGCGCTGCTGAACTGGACGGCGGCAGACAACATGTCTCGGTGTGTTGTTTGTGTGCGCGCATGGTGGGGGGTGGGGGGGGGGGGGGTGAGCTGCAGAAAACGCTCACTTTCCGCACGCGCGCACGTCGAGAATCGTCACCTGTCATTCAGAGCGCTCGCGCAACGCATTCCTACACAGCCGTACGGCGGCGGATTCACCTCTGTCCCTGTCGCACACGCGGAAACACTAACAAATACACACACACAAAAAAAAAAACAAGGGGAAACGAAGGGGAAGCAGCACAGGGCGAAGGAAGTCATCGCGACGAGGGAGCGAGAGGATGTCTGGGACCGGTTACCACAGTAGGAACAGCATCCCCCACCTGACAGTAAGTGAGCCGGCCCTGTCCAGCACGGGTTTTTTTTTTGGCCGGAGAAGCTCTCTCCGCTTGTATGCAAATCCCTGCTGCCTGTGCCGGCAGAGAGGGGATTAAATTCTTTAGTGCAGGAGGCAAAGTCCAGGAGGCCTGATCTACTGTTTCTCATGTTTGAACACAGCAAAACCCCAAAAGCAGAAGAAGAAGAAGAAGAAGAAAGGTGACAATTCTAAATGTCTGTGTCAAGTTGAGCGCGTGTTTTCTGGCTCAGGGTTACACGGGGTTGTGTAATCTCGCCGCCTGTCACGGGGATTAACTCGGTTGACTTGACGGTCGAACTAGGAGTAGCCCAGGACACAATGGGTGACATGAAACAACACAGGCCACGAATTATAGCCTACAGAAAGCCTATTGGTTAATAGCATTGAATGGCAAATGGATCCAACTGCAACATACGATCAGGTACCTGAGTCCTGTTGGAGACCAACAATCCAAATGTGTGTTTTCATGTCTTACATTTCAAACTGGGGATGCTGAAAATAGAGCCTTCAGCTGAACCATGGGTGATCACTGGTTACCATGGAGATATAACATCTTCCTATTACTTGTTGCTAGGCACCCTAAAAGGTGGTAGAGGGGTCTGGATGTATGGTATTCTGAGAAAAACATGGTTGTCCAACACTGCAAGTCAAAGTCTTGGTTGGACACTGCAAATCTACAGTTAACATAGTGTTCCAAATACAGTTATTACATAAAATACAGTCAGCACTTATAAAAGATTTCATGGGACTTCACCTGTGCTCTGCATTTCTTCGGCTTTGCCTTTTCTCTCAACCTCATCCACAGTACTGTGTCATGATATCGCTTTAAAGTCATGGATTACATAACTGCAATATATCCAAATGTCAGCAGTGGATTCACCCCCTCCTCTCTCTCTCTCTCTCTCTCCCTCCCTCCCCCCTTTTCTCTCTCCACTTCTCCCCCTGCAGAGTGAAAGGCTGTTGATCAAAGGAGGGCGGGTGGTCAACGATGACCAGTCTGTCTACGCAGATGTCTACATTGAGGATGGGCTCATCAAGTGCGTATACACAAAGACCCAGAACTGCAGAAGCAATAAAAGTGTAGCTTTGAGTAGTGTGAATATTTTGCCGTCTATAATGAATTCTACCCCTTCTTCTGTACGTGTTCTGTATCCCCCGGTAAAGGCAGGTGGGGGAGAATCTGGTTGTGCCTGGTGGGGTCAAGGTGATCGAGGCTAACGGCCTCATGGTGATTCCAGGGGGCATAGACGTCAACACCTGTCTGATGAAGCCCTACCTGGGAACACAGCCTCTTGATGATTTCCTCCAGGGCACCAAGGCTGCACTCGCGGGGGGCACCACCATGATCAGTAAGCCAATCAGTGATACAATACAATACCATACCATAATAAACCAAACATTATGATGTAACCACCGCACGGATACAATACAATACGATATGATGGAATAGGATATGATCTGACATGATACGGTGCAATATAACTCAAAGGTGTGTAATATTTTTCACTGTCCACTCTCCAGTTGACCATGTGACCCCTGAGCCTGGTGACAGTCTGCTGGAGGCGTTTGAGTTCTGGCAGGAAGCTGCCGATAAGAAGGCGTGCTGCGATTACTCCCTACACGTGGACATCCCCCAGTGGAACGAGACGGTCAAAGATGAGCTGGAGCTGCTGGTGCACGACAAAGGTGGAGCAATTTTAAAAAAAAGTCATTCAAGAGCTGTGGTCACACTGATGTAGTCCTTTCTTCAGTTTCCCCTCGTTTTCAACCAAATTTTCCCAGGAAACAATAGAGCCCAGATTTAGAAACCATGTGGTCCAGTGTTGAATCCTCTTAGAACGAAGCCACAGCGGGGGGGGCGGGGATCCATTGTTGCAATGACAAAGCTGTCATGGAGGCCGTGTTCAAATTTAGCTTGTAATCTGTCTTAAGTCAAAAATCACTTTTCTTTTGGGGAATCTCTCAACATAATGCAATGACCGAGCCAAGGCAGCCACTGGTGTGAGCAATTTCTGTCATAAACAAAGTTGTGAGTTGTTGTTTTTTTTGGGGGGGGGGCGAAGATGCCAGACATAAACAAAGTCTGCATGCTTTAAACTCTAGAGGAGGTAGTAGATCATTTTGGTGTATAAGCTTCCCCCCTTTTTAAACGTATTTCATGCATTAAACTACATTATTTTGGCCACCACTTCCACAGTTTGTCTTTGAGTTGTTTTTCCTTCATCGCCCTCTTGTAATGAATTGGCTGTTCCGCTGTTGTCAGGTATCAACTCCTTTCAAGTGTACATGGCTTACAAGGACGTGTACCAGATGTCAGACTCTCAGGTACGGATTAATCACAACTGCTGCATGAATTCACTTATTTCTAATCTGTCCTTTAAATATGTGCCTGTCTGCTCTTTCCTCTTTGCTAATTAACCCTTTTTCACATCCTTTGGACTCATCCCCTCCCTCAGCTGTACGAGGCGTTCTCCTTCCTGAAGCAGCTGGGTGCTGTGGTTTTAGTCCATGCTGAAAATGGAGACCTGATTGCTCAGGTAAGTGTCACACATCCTCTTATTTTTTATATCTCTGTTAACACCATCATAACCTGTCTTTACTCAGACACAGCAATTTACCGTGGCCAAATAACTCAAACACATAATGGGTTGAAACAAATCAATATGTTTCACTTAGATAGTCCCCTGCAACCTCTGCTGCAGCAGTGGAGAGATATTCTTGTTACATAACATCCCAGCTCACATAGAGGGAGGCAGAGGATTAATAATAAATCTGCTGCTGCTGGGTGTGTCTGGTTTAACTCTAGCCAGCCGTGCTTCCCCCCCCCCTCCATTATTATACTAATGATGATGATGATGTGATGATGATTAAGATTGGTGGTGGTGAAAGTGCTGATAATGTTGACAGCCGTGATCAAAAGTGGTAGTCGTAGTCATGAAGACAACGGGGCTCAATTAAGGGTGAAAAACCAAGATGTATGTGCCGATAAATTAGGCTAATGGATGCTAATGGGAATGCTGATGATAGATTAGGAGATACTTGTTAACCTTACTGAAATGGAAATAGAAAGATGGGTGATTAAATGCAACAAAAGCAGCAAATCCCTTCTAAAAAGGGAAAAATCAAAATTACAGGACAGAAAGCAAGCAGGTTGGGGGGGGGTCTGCTTTTCATGCTGCGCTGTCAGAAACACATTTGTGGCCGTCAACAATTCTCCCCACCGTTCAAAAGCTTTCTCGGATTACAATGCACCCTTTATTTCTCTTTGATACGTGACAGACCATGAGATCTCATTTTACGGCCATGGCGTTCCAGCAAAGGCGGTAGAAACAGGAGGCTTATGGGTAAAACATGAACTGACAATTACTGTGCGTAATGCTGACAGTCATTGTAGCCACGAGTCAAGATCCATTGTTCCCATTTGTGCGTCAGGAACAGAGAAAAATCCTCGGGATGGGAATCACCGGACCTGAAGGCCATCCGCTGAGTCGCCCAGAAGAGGTGCAGGATCATTTTTTTTTGTTTCTTAATCCATCTTTTCCTGCACAAACAACACAAGTTCTGTTAAAGCTTTTTCTTCATTTCAATGTCAATGCAGCTGGAGGCTGAGGCCGTGTTTCGAGCCATCACCCTTGGCAACCGAGTGAACTGCCCCGTCTACATCACAAAGGTGATGAGCAAGAGTGCAGCCGACACTGTCGCCCAAGCCCGTAGGAAAGGTTGGCATCTTTTCTTTATACCCCATTTCTCTAACTCCCCGGTTCTCAATCATCTCATGTCTCTGATTCCATTTCTTTTAGTATTCATGAGTATTAAACTCTTCATCTTCCCATAACAGGTTCTGTCGTTTTTGGAGAGCCAATCACAGCTTGCCTGGCCACCGACGGCTCCCACTACTGGAGCAAGAACTGGGCCAAAGCTGCTGCTCATGTGACCTCTCCACCTTTGAGTCCGGACCCTACAACCCCAGACCACCTCCACACTCTGCTGGCCTGGTGAGTCTTAAGATGCCCATTAAGTAAATACACTCAAGTCTCTTTTATAATCCAGGGGCCCTGACTCATTTACATTTTGTGATGATGATGTTGCTCTGAAGAGATGAATAGATGTAGCCTCCAGTATAGTCCCGAACACTGCGCTATGTAAAAACATTTCTAATGAATGCAAAGAGAGGGATGAGGTAAGCTACAACCTCTGCAGAGTGAAATGCAAATTAGCGCTCTTTTTTTTTCTCAGTCGTTTTTTTAAGTATTCATGCCCCAAATAACGGCTAATGCAACGCTCAATGTCGGAGCAGCGTCAGAGCGGATGGAGAGAAGGTGAAGGTGAAGGTATGAGGAGGGAAGGGGCAGAAACGAGGAGGTGTGAGAGACGTAAATAATGGATATGATTTGCGAGTCACTAACTCATGAGTATCATGGAGAGGGATGAAGTGGCCCTGACCAAACCCACCTGAGCTCCCACTTTAAGCTACACACACTCTCATGCACACACACACACACACACACACACACACACACACACACACACACACATGCTCAGAACATCCTGCTGTACAATTTTGACTGGCCCCGATTCCATAAATAGCACAGGAACTAGAATCCTTCATCATCTGTTGCCTTGGCTACCAACTGCCTTCCTCCTCTTCCTCCTCCTCCTCCTCCTCCTCCTCCTCCTCCTCCACCCTTTGTCTGCAACTCCAGCTTCTCAGGGTGGGTCCGTGCTGTCACACCGGTGGTGGTGTGATACTGCTGTTGTGTTGTGTTTGACCTTCTGCTGATGCGACAGGGTGTATTTTTAGTTGGGTTTTCTTTTTCCGAGGCGTGAAGAAAAGAAAACACCTTTTTTTTTTTCTCCTCCCATCTCATCGGGACAAATGACTTCTAACATAACTACTCTCATGGTCCCACAGCTCACTATCACAAAGTCACTGTGATTAACTGATGGATAAAGTGCAGAAATTGGAATCCTATGTCCTCATGTGCCAAATTCAGCCTCTTGTATTTAATCAGGGGGGGGGAAAGTGAGTTTATATATTGATGGCTTTTTTGATGTTGCAGAGCATCTTTGTGAAGTCACCTTGCGATGGCCTTAGGAACTAGCATTGCAGCTGCGTTGCACCAATCTGACTGTTTAATCATGCTGGGGTTTTTTTTTCTGCCTTGGGCCACTAAACATGACTTGTACTTTTTCCTCACATGCTCAAAGAGGACACCTGGTGGCTCTTGGTTGAAATGTCTGCTTGCATTAATCACGGTTGCTTGACTGGGACTTTTGGTTGAACTGAACAGAACTGAGAGAACAGAACAGAATAGATGTTTATTGCCATCTGCACAGGTACAGAACAGTACAGGGACATCGTAATGTGTGTGCACTGTGCATTGGTGCTTTAGTCAGATTTGTAGAATATACAAGATTCTTCATGGAAAAATGACAAAAAAGCTAATTCCTCATGGTCAAGGACATGCCTCTGATTCCTTCATATTGTGTCGCCTTGTCACAGTGGGGACCTCCAGGTGGTGGGCAGCGCTCACTGCACATACAGCACATCCCAGAAAGCAATCGGTAAAGAAGACTTCACCCTGATCCCTGAGGGAACCAACGGAATAGAGGAGAGAATGGGTTTTGTTTGGGACAAGGCCGTGGTGAGCGATGAGGTTGTGTGTGTGTGTGTGTCTATAGCGCTGCTGGTGTGTCTTTTTGTCCACTACTCTAAAAAAAAAATAAAAAAAAATGTCCGTCTCTAGGCCATGGGGAAGATGGATGAAAACCAGTTTGTGGCCGTCACATCTACCAACGCTGCTAAAATCTTCAACCTGTACCCTCGCAAAGGGCGGATAGCGGTGGGCTCTGATGCCGACGTCGTCATCTGGGACCCTGACAGCGTGAAAACCATCACTGGCAAACTGCAGCAGTCGGTGAGAGCAACAGGAAACGGGAGAGGAAAGAAAGTCAAAACAGAATACGAGTAACAAAAGGGTCATTATACTGACATACTGATCTGTAGGAGAGAGAGAGGGATTCATGAGGGTGATGGAAGAGTGGGAAATAGGATATAAACCATCACAAAGATCACTTTTTAATTGGAATATAACATTTGAACAATTCTATCGAATAGATGTGACTGTATCAGAATAATAAAGGTAGGACATAATATACCAAACCTTTCATTATCATAGGTTATACACAGTTTAAGAAAAGAAGAAACCAGTTTTGAGTCTTTTTATTTGGGTAAATCAACACATTTACATCAGCTAGTATCCTGCCCCTTTGCAGCTTCCTTGCTCACATTTAAAGGAGCAATCAGTAACATATCTACTGAATTAAATGATAAAATGACTTTACTATATCATCAGACATGGAGTAAATATGCTATGTTGAATTCTGGGTTCTCTAACAACAATGCAGCACTCACTATGTACTCCTCATATATTTTGATTACGATCCTGATGCTGGTTTGATTTTGTTTCGACCAGAGAAGGTTAAGGCACCCCCACATGGCCGTTTTTGACACCCCTTAAACCAACAGGTGTTGCAGAAATTGATGCGGGCAAGAGAACTGGTTCAGATAGAAGTGATTGTACCCGACCTAAAAAGCCTCTGCATGTTTCTAATAAGCTCCACGAGCAGAAACGTGCTCAAACTAGAATCAATATTGGAGATGCTTTTGAAAAATGGAGAGAGGTTAGAACGCAGAAAGGTTTACAGACCGATGCAGAGCTGGATAAACACTGAAGCTTCAGTACCCATTTTAAAACACTGGGTGTCAGAGTTACTTATTGCTACTTAATATTTCCAACTAAACAAAAAATATTTTCATTTTGAGATGCCTAGAACATATGTGGGAATAAATGTTTTGTCTTTTATCTTTTCAAATAAGGGTCACTCGCTTTTGATTTCAAGACCAAATGGTTCATATGAGCTCAGCAGGATTGATTTAGAGGTGGAAATGTGACACAGTATAGTGTAGATATTAGACGGTGTTTAATGTATTCAGTCTGCTCCTTCACTCTCACACGCCCTAATCCAGACTGCTGCCGGCTTTAGGTTATAATCCCCTTTCACCCCTCACCCATTCTTCACTGCCATCTTTATACCCATCCCCCTGTATATTCACACTCACATCATTCCTCCTATATGCCCCAAGCCTCTCATTTATTCATCCCCCTTCTTCTCAGCTGCTGCATTTAACTGCATTTATTAAACTTTGATACAATGCTTGCTAAAAGAGCACAGTGGGGTGGGACAGAGTAGGGTATCAGAGTCTAAATAGTGAGGGGTGGGGGGGGTGATGAAAAAATTTCCCTTGTTCATTTGTCTAATTCCCCTTTTTTCCACTTCCTTTGTCTGGCATGTCCTCGGCACACAGGCTGCAGAATTCAACATCTTCGAGGGCATGGAGTGCCGCGGGGGTCCGGCTCTGGTGCTGAGTCAAGGTCGGGTTGTTTATGAGGATGGCAAGCTGCAGGTTCAGCAGGGTACCGGCCGATTTATTCCTCGCAAGCACTTCCCAGACCTCCCTTACCAGCGTGTTAAATTCAGGAACCAGGTACAGTACAGATGATTTACAAGACCATTATGAAGCCATAAAAAAACATGTGACACTTGAAAATATCTGCAAAGGCAGCGAGACAAACCTACATGCTGACTCATGTCACAAAAAAGTGTAATAATCCGGGAATTTATAACTTTTCTCGCCATTAAAGTACTTACAATGACATGTTGTAAATACTTTATCATGGTTGTCTGTTAAATTTGGGTTTGTTTGGTTTCTGGGTGAAACTCTTATATATATAAATAAAATAAAACATATCAAAGTTTTAATGGACCACATGGTTTTTTATTTTTTAAGATGTTTATTTTTGGACTATTTATTCCTTTATTAAGAGACAGGACAGTGGATAGAGTCAGAAATCATGGAGAGAGAGAGAGAGAGTGGGGAACGACACACAGGAAAGGAGCCACTGGACAGATTTGAACCCTGGCCGCTCGCTTTTAAGGACTTCAGCCTCTGTACGTGGCCCACTAACCAATAGGCCACTGGCACCCCAACCTATAATTTCTTAAGATGGATATTCACTCTGAAATTAATAAATATATAAAACCAGGAATTTTAGAACTTGTAATATATCCTAAATACAACATAAAACTTTATTTTCATTGTGAACAAAAGTTAAAAAAGGTAAAAATACTTACATCCAAATACATCCAAACACTAATGTTACAAAAGCCAACAGACTTTGCATAGTGTTTAGAGTGTAGTTACTGTAAGAATCTAAATGATGCAGATGGGAAAACAGATCATACAGAAGTCACTATGGTCCCTATTTGGGTTTCCAGGCCTTATTGTTGCTTTTTGACTTATAGGCTCTCTATTTCTCTCTCTCTCTCTCTCTCTCTCTCTCTATATTTTTTCTGTGTTCCTCTGTCGGTTTTCTGTCCAGGTGAAGAACAAACAGGGCGTCACTCGTGGGATGTATGATGGCCCGGTGCATGATGTCGTTCCTACTCCTAAATATATCACTCCTTCTCCGTCAGCGAAAAGTTCTCCCACCTCTCACCAACCACCACCAATACGCAACCTCCACCAGTCCAACTTCAGCCTGTCAGGTAAGAGTAAGTACACGGCCCATTTATCAATCAATGATTCTTTGCTGCTTTTAATATGTTTGAAAGAACACAAACATTCAGCTACATTAAAATACCTTTCACTGTATGCATGCTGAAAAGAGTTTCTAATAAAATACATTTCTAATAATTAAAGCTTTCTGTTTATCTTAATTTGGTAATCCTAAAAATTGTGTTTTAAATCATTTCCTGTGCTTTAGTAGTAGTAATCTTGTTCATAATGGTCTTGATCACTTTTGTAAATCGTATAGATGCATCAATGTTAAATTCAGTTTCATAACTGGTTAAAAACTCCTCACAGGAGCTTTAACTAAATACAACTCACACTTTTCTTTTTTTATCATTATTTCCCAGGGGCCCAGATGGATGACAACATCCCTCGTCGGTCTGGCCACCGTATTGTAGCACCCCCTGGTGGCCGCTCCAACATCACCAGCCTTGGTTAAAATCAACCTGACTGTGCACAAAGTGTGTGTTTGCTGTGGGGTTTCACCTCGTGAGTGTGTGTGTGTGTGTGTGTGTGTGTGTGTGTATGACTGAGAGTGTGAGCACTCTGACATGAATGAGAAAAACATTGTATATGTACTCGTACAATGGTCACAAAATTTATGATTTTCATCAGTTTGCCTTGAGTCAGAAGCACATTAACATTTCCAATCAAAGAAGAGCGTGAATTACAATCAGCAGAGTCATTCAAAGATATTACAAACTCACGATCGGGGCACTCACACACACATACACACACACACACATAGGTTTGGGCCCCCTCCAAGCACCCAAATGTGACCCCCAGTATTGTGTCAAAATGTTCGATCCTTTCCTGTGAGCATGACTTCTACAGTACTCCTCCTCCTCTCCTCCCTCGTCTTACTTTGTGAGTCTGCTCAGACTTGGTGCTCCTTCTTCCCAGCTGAAGAAAACTAAACTTTCCAACACCACGGCAATATTAGTTTTAATGTGGCTCAAAAAGACGAGTTAGACATACTGCATGGACGCGTCTTTTAATGTTGCACTACTTGTGGTTTGTTGTTCAATGGAGGAACACTTTACACTCCAGGCACATTTGTATTCAACCGCACAGACATACTCTTGTATTGGAAAATGTATGCACACGATGACACTCACTGTGGATAGAGCCAGCTGTAACATTCAAAATTGCATTTATCCATTCTAACTGTGAACTTCAATAAACGCAACTTCCTCTAGACCACCAGATACTTTATGCACAGGTGTCAATACTCTCCAATAAAGTTTGAAAGTAGACAAACAGTTGAAACAAATACAAACACAGCTGTGGACTGCATCCTCTAGTTTGTTGTACCTACATGATAGAGTTTCACATCAAGACTCAACGATATGTGTGATAGTTTTCTGCCAATCACCCAAGCAAGAAATAGATCTTTGTTGTTTAATGACATGCGCAACTCACTGCTGTAAAAAGGGCTTCAGCTCCCACCCTCCCTCTCTTTAAAACCTTTTTTTTATTTTTATTTGATTGACTCTGGATGTTTTATTGGTACGGTTTAATGTTTCTATGCCACGCCGTTATGTTGCTGTTGTCTGGTGTCTCCAATGAAACCGCTATAATGATCAATAAAGACTCGACTGTTGTCAAAAGTTATGGTACAGCTATTATTCCTGAGAGTTTAATACCACCTGACAGACACATCTAATGTCGGGCTCTAAGTTTTTTTACAAGCCATTTCTTCTGTTATTTTTCAAGTGCTGAATTTCTTTTGCACAAAAAAAGTGTGCACATACAACCACGTTCCCACAGCGGTCATCTTTCAGAGTGGAAAGATCAAATGCCGATAAAATAAGTACGTGTGTGTTCCAGGTTGTAAACTGTTGTAGGGTTGATACATTTTTTTATTTAACTGCCACATATTTTATGAGCAGCTGAAAAGAGATAGTTAAACCTGTAGGGACATCTGGGCCATATTTCAATGTTTAGAAGTGTATTTGATGTCGAAAAGCTAACAATGGAGTATGGAGAACGATTGAGTGCATGGCAGCCATGAATAAGAAAAAAGGTTTGAAAGCATTTGTTACGTGTAAAAGGAAGGGGAAACCATAGTTTTGAAGTTGACATTAAAATTCACACATTTAATTTAAGAAAATCATTAACCCAAGAAGTAAATATTACCCTTTGGGGTTATAGGACTAATTATTTCTCTTTAGATATTTTGGAGGCCTTTTTGCCTTTATTGGATAAAACAGCTGAAGAGAGACAGGAATTGTTTTAAAGCTAGATAAAGAGACTATTCCAAATGTTTTCATGAAAAACTTGAATTTAATTCTTTATAATCTATTTTTGTTAAAACAAGAAGCAAAGCAAGGACACGGCTGTTTCTTCGCTTTTGCAGAAGAATTTTTTTATGGTTACATTAGCTGGAGAAACAGGGTGAACCAGTGCAAGTCTCTCATGAGGGATTTAAGTAACACCAGTATGACACTTCTACCATCATTTTCTTTTTTTCAGATAGCAAATCTAATTTTGTAGAAGTTACAACATTCTTCTTCAAAATACGACACATATTTGATGCTTCACTTTGGCGTTAAATAGCTCACAATAGCTTACATAAAAAATGTTGAGTGTTGTTATAGAGCGTTGTCACTTGGAAACACTGTATATAAATAATTGTGCAGCAACAGTTATATCTCCACCCATCTGTTCTCCCGGCTGAATGTTTCCTTTTATCGTAGTCCTTGATGATAACAGCCAATTTACTCTGCTTAATTTTCTCGTTTCATCTGCCTGAGATTGGCCTCACTTTGTTTCTTGTGTTTTCTCAAAGGAAAAAATCTTTGAAAATAAGCTTTCTCAAAATTTGTCCCCGTCCTCATGGGCCAGTTTCATAAATATTAATGTAAGTACCGCATTAAAATGTACCTTATCAATAATGGTTACCGTCCTGCAATCTTGCCTTAAATCCAAAGGTGACCGGGCCTTTTCTGTTGTTGCCCCCAGGCTCTGAAATACACTCCTGCCCAACATTAAGTTCTTTTACACTATCGAAAATGTTAAATCTAACTTAAAGACTTACCTCTTTCACCATGCTTTTATTCAAGGCTGATGAGGATTGCTCCACTATTAATAAGCTTGAATTGTATTCTTTCTGTCTTTGATTATTAAATGTGTATAGGTTTTATTTAGCTTCTCAATCTCAGACTTGTATCCCTGATTTGAAATCTTATCCATATACACTGCCATTTTTTATTTAATTCTTTGTAATTATTAAAAATTTTACATTGCATATTAATAAACATTTCTGTAAATATGCCAGAGTTAGCCAAAAGGCTCATTTTCATCCGTTGTCCCCAGGCAGATTTTATAAAAGGCTCCCTAAATTCTGATCCTTATTCTTATGTCTTATATATAAAAACAATGTCAGCTGTTAAGCACTTTGGTTCAACTCCTGTTGTTTTTGAATGTGTTATCTAAATGAATGACTGGACAATTCATAATCTGTAACTAACGTAAAAGTTTAATTGCTGCAGGTTGCTGCTTCATTTCCCAACATTAACATGAATATATACACTTAATTTGTAAACTTTTTGTATATTAAATTGACTACATTGAGTATGTTTTAAATATACTGTATAATTTATACATCACATTTACTGTTTTGAACATATAACGTACATCATCATACAAACATCAAGTTTCAGGCCCCATCCTGAGGTGTAGTGCAGGATCTCGCCTTACAAACTATGCAGAAACTTTTGCATTCTGCATTATCATTAGAATATAAAGATTTTGATGTTTTTCAGGGTACATTATCTGCCATTTATTATAATTTTAAATCGTGTCATTTGTATCAGTGTTGTCACATAACAAAAATATCCCATGCTCTTATTTATTCCAGTCTAGTAAAAGCACATATTTATAATAACTGATATTTCTGCAATTTTCCCATCTTCCTGGTGAAACCTCTCTGGGACCACATCCATATATTCTATGTATAACTTACAGACTGTATATTTGAAAAAGAACATTTTCTGGCTTTCACTGCCGCTGAACTGATTCCAGAAAACATCACCTTCACGGAAACCTACAGAGACCTGCATGCTGCTGCTGCCATCTGCTCTGGGAGCAAACCAGAGAGATGTAATATTGAGCTTGTGAGAGTGAATTTATGCATGTTTTTGTTTTTTCTGGTCATGAAATCACAGAAATGGAAATAGTTGGAAGGCAGTGGCTGTGTGTGTGTGTGTGTGCTATGGGTATATAAAAGTCTGAACAGGTGCCATAACAATGCAAAGACTCCCCGTCCCTTGAAAGGAACAGGCTGCTGTTTGGAAATAACTGAGAGGTTGACTGCATCCAGGCAAATTACTGAGCCAGCTGTGCTGTTTTGCCATCATTGACAGTCTCCTAGGTGCCTATACTGTGTTTATCTGGGCTGCAGCCAACTACTTTACACAAAAATATTCTTTTCACCAAAAAGAAGCAACATTGTGAGGGAAAGGAAATTATAAAAAAGAACTACAGATTTGGCATGCTGTAAACACTCATATTCTGGTCAATTTATGATGGAGATAAATGCTCAATAGGTGTTCATTGTTTAAAATTGAGAGTGCTTACACTTAGCGCTTAGATTTCCTATGTCGGCCTACTGCTTTGATATGATTATAAAGTATCATCTTAATGTTGCACTGTAGAGTCACGTAATGTTCCTTAATTCTATAAAATATTGCCATGTTGTAACTTAAAAAGTATAATAATTCTAACATTTTTAATCTCTTAGGCGGAGAGACTATGTGTCATGCTGCAGCAGGCTAAGAACCACAGTGTCACCCAGAGGACCTCTAAAACCCTGCATTTAATTTAGGCTGTAATTCTCCTTTTGTCCAGTGGGGGTCCATGTTGAGCTTTGTGAAGAGGGCAAGTCTGCTCTTTGAGGCTCTCATCGGAGATGGATGGAAAAAGTTTCATGAGAAGTTCATAAAATTGACTTAACCTCACACCCCTCCCCCTACCACAAAAAACTACCACTCCAATTTCTAGAGTCTATAATTAACTAATATACAAAAGTAAATTACAGTCTCAATCTGCCTAACACCTATCCACAACAAGCCAAAAACTTTTAAAATTTGCATTTGAATCACACAACAGATGAGAATTTGTGCACTCATTGAGATAAAAAAAAAAGAAAGAAGAGAATGAAGAATCACGTGTCTCAGGTCTATCAGAGGAAGCTTTCAACTCACAGCCAATCACTGATGAGACACACCTCTGCAATCACTTGAATGCAGCAAATTACACACCAGCACCTACAGGTCATCAGCCAAGAAAACCCAGACCCACTCACACACACACACCCGTACATGTCTATATGACCTTCTGAGGACCATAACCTCATGAGTTACTTGTGAGGACCGAGAGGACAAAGAGGACAATGACATTTCTTTACAATATATTTAGAGGATACTTACTCAAATCACATAACAATTAGTGAAAATAAGTAAAACTTCATAAAACTTATATGGCCAAAAGTACTTGTAATACACTCTTACAAAGTGCTTAACAAATAAAAGCAGTCAAACAATTCATAAGAAGATAACTTAAATAAATCACAATGTCAAGCAGGGCAAAGTTAAGATCAGGCCAGTACAAAAACAAACATTCAGCAGATCTGATGGTTTCTGAGAGTGAGGGCTAAAACAGCAAAAGCATGGTCACTTTTTGTTTTAGAGCGGGGGATGGAAAAAAAACTGGGATTAGATGCTTTTAGTGGACGAGGGGTAGAATATGGAACGAGGAGGTTGGAAATGTAGCTGGGGGCGAGGTCATGCAGTGCTTTCTATGTGAGAAACAAGAATGTGTACTTGATTCTGAATTTTAGCCAATGAAGGGATGCAAGAACGAGGAAGCTGTGGGAATGACGGCTGGTTCGGGTTAATAATCTGGCAGCTGCATTTTGGATTCACTGTATATGGTTTATGGATGACTGGCTGAGGTATAATGAGAGTTACAAATAATGATAATAAAGGCAATGTTAATTCCTTTGCTTAAATTTAATAATACACCTGAAGATAGATAGGATCTATTCTTTAATCATAACATAAAACATATTTATCAACCATGACCTTAAACCTAACCCCCTTCTAAAATACAACTAGTTATTTCTGTCCTAGTAGATAACAAATACTACACTGCACATTTTTCCCCTAACCCAAAACTTTATTAATCATGATACATTTGAAAATTACTTTCTGCTCCTAAGCATGGTATATCATTTCTTGTTTCTGGCTTTCTTTGAGGTTGTTCGTGTCTTGCAGAATTCCAATCTGAAAGCTTCACTTCTCTATCTACTTAATAAAATTTTTTATTGGCTATTAAATCTTCATGCTTAATACATAGTCACCCCAGCACTGTGGATATTTGTGACTGATGCAGAACTAAATGAAGAACTTGAGGAAACATGTCGATCTGTCCTTAATCAAGTCATCTTGCATCATAGTAAAAGTAATGTTACTTTTTACCCCCTGCTGAATTCCAAACTAATGTGTTTTATATATTTCATGAATGGATGGTGCAAATCAAAAGGTCATTTCTGTTTTCTCACCTCGTAGAGATTAAGGATCATGTGGATCACTCCATTTAAATTGGAAATA